AAGGGCAAGTATTGCAAATAAATATGAGTGATAAATTCAACACATTATGCGTAGATTATGATGGGTCAATGTTAAACTGTATAGAAGAGGTGATTAGTTAGTGTTTCATTTAATTCATGAAATTTAACTGATAAATTAGGTGCATTGATATAATTCTATTCGAATTAAGGTGGGTCATTCTACAAAACGAGCAAATTATCCGATTCATACAAAATGTGGATTGATTTACTTTGAAATTCGCATTAACAAAGAAACAAATGGGTATGAAGTAAACACTTGTCTTATACAGTATAAAAACTTTATATAAACTTGATATCTTTTTGAAGGCTGATTGGAATTGGATTTTGCACAAAGACAGACAATATGAATAATATGCCGGTAATTGTAAACACCTATTTTCACCATTTACAGTGTGCATATTTATTAAATGCCGCATTATTTATCGTTATAGGGTGGGACGACGAATCATGGGGTTATCATAATGACGGAAATTTTTATTATGACTCAGGAAGAAGCCGTCCGTATGGTCCATCATTTAAAAGTGGGGATACTATCGGATGCTGTTTAAACTTCATATGCAAGACGGTATTCTATACCAAGAACGGAGTGAACCTAGGTAAGCTACCTTTAATTATAATGCTTATTTATGGTAAGTAAATATGGATTTATATTTAAACTTTTTCAAGGGATTGTGTTCCAAGATTCGGAAGGTGTTATGTATTCATGTATTGGGCTGCAATCGCAAAACAGCTCAATAGAAATAATGCTTTTTCAGAAAAACTTGAAATATGCAGGTAAATTTATTTAATGCTATATGGTTTATGGTTGATTAGTCTCTAATTTCTTTAATTGTTATCTTCTACTTATATGAACAGCAATAACTGATGATGATATTGCTAATGAGTTATTAATAAAAATGGAATGAAGCTCTTAATCCCCATAATGATGAAGCAGTAAATAAACAACTTTTGGATTTAAATTTTGATTCAGATAATGTGCAGACACTAGAGTATCGAGGGGAAAATTAATTTCATTATGGGTAGATACGAAGATGCACTTGCAAATTTAACAAAGCTGTTAGAAATTAAACCAGATAGTGTATTTGCACTGAGATATCGAGCAGAAACCTATCAAATGATGGAAAGATTTAAGGAATCGCTCGTAGATTTATATAGCTTGTTAAAAATTAAAAAAGATGATATATGTGCATTAAAAATTTGAGATGAAATTATCAAAGAACGTTAAATGAAATTAGAAGAGCGAGTTTTACAGGGCATAGGACTTAAATTAGAATTAGAAGAAATTTTAATGGAACAGGTGGTACTTACAGAACTTTCCGGAATGCATTTAAAAGAGGTTTGGGAACGGAAGAAACAAGAGGAGGTGGATAAAAAACAAAAAGAATTACAAAGTTCGGAAGAAAACTTAAAGCGCAAAATCAAGTTGCTCTTAAAAGGAGGTCAACAGAATCAGTCTACCTTTAATGAGTTCGATTTCTTGTTCTCACCAGTTTTTGATGATATTCAATCCTTAAGTGGACCCAAACAGAAAGAATATAATCTAGAGGAGCTCATACAACTTTTGCCGGGGCGAGGGAATATTTAACAAGACTTAGATTCCTTGGAACATCTGCATTTATACTTGCAAACACTGAAAGAGGATTAAGAATTAATAAAAAATGGACAAAAAAAAGCACGGGAAGATGACTTATTAAAAATCTTGAAATTTCCGGAATTCTTAGATCTACTACGCTTAGAACAAAAATTGTATATATCCACTTTATTTTGTAATTATTTTAATTATTGTGCTATACTAATCTTTATCAACAAATTAATTAGACGGTGATTACTCAGTCACTTTTAAAGTTTCATATTAAAATGATTTATCAATAAATAAATAATCCTATTCCATTCAACTACATACTTTAAATTTGTTAGAAAGTAATTAATCATTTTTTTAAAACTATTGTGCAAAAATCTGTCGAATAAAATCGATTAATTTATGTATTAATTAGATTGTAAGTAAATTCATATTTGAAAACATAATATAATTAAACGAGAGTTTAATATCTTGAATGGTCTTACATGTAGTAATATTAAGGAAGTGGGTATTTAGTTCATTGCTTATTTAAAATTTTCGTGCCAAGTTTATTTATCTACAACTCAAATGCAATCGATTACACACCAGAAAGTGAGTATTTAAAATTTATAATATCGATAATATTATTAAATAATAACGTAAAACTATCAGCGGGTGAGTTTTGTTTATTTAGATTACTTAAATCCTCATAACAAGGAATCCACCATCATTTGAATAAACTCCATACATTGAAATTACAGGAAGTGAGAGTTTCTTTTTTTTTTTTTTTATTTCATACAGTGCAGGACTATTAGCAGATTCATACATCTCAAACTATGCGACGACTTAACATCCCATAGTTTCGGAAATATATTGAACTATGTAATGTCTGTCATAAGCTAGCTCTGGCCCCATAACCACGCATAACATCATTAGTTAGTCTTGAAACTAATATCTCATAACAAAGGAATGATTAATCCACAATCAAAATTCGGGAAGTTGAAAAATGATTTTGCCTAATCAAATCGCTCAAAACAGAATTTTGAATTTTTGAATTATAAGTTCACATGATTTCCATCTTCAATGTCCTGCACTGTATAAAATGGATTTATCGTTAAATAATACTACACTGATATATTTCATGTATAAAACTACAAGTTCGTAAGTCTTCAGATCATTTAAAATTATTATGAAATACATGACTTAAATAACGATGAAATTATTATCAGTTTGTGAGTATTCGTTTCAGTTTTTAAAAATTATTTTGAAAATATTTAAACCTTTTGATCTGATTGTATGCATATTAAATTTTAAGCCCGTAGGTATTCATTCTGTTAATAAAAATAGCATCTATCTAGATATGTATGCAAAGCATGCAATTAATTCTGGCCAACATTAAGAAATTAAATCATAATTTTGGCCAAAACATGCATGCATATGCAAGTGCTTGCTAA